AAATTGAGCCATTCTGGGCTTACGGAATCAGCGCAAAATTCTACACAAGGGGCTTCGCGTAGGGGAACTCGATTGCTACCAGGGGTGGGCAAGTTTTTGCAGCGGCAAATTCCCGGCAGTCCATTTTCCGGGGGTCCGGCAGTCCATTTTGGAAGGGAAAAAGCGATTTTTGGCGGGGCGGCTACGCCGCCATACTTGGGTTACCATTTGATGGCGCAATTAGATAGATTCCAAGGACTTTCACGGTCTGGGAGTGACGCCAAATTGTGGATCACATTGTTCCGCGTCGAACCATACCCTATATGTCTCGTCGGCAGTCCGTTATCTTTGAGCTTTTCGAGGATATATGGAAATAGAGTTATTTTATAGGATTTTCCGCTCTATTTTTGTAATATGGTAGTTTTTCACGCTGAAAGTGACACCAGATTGTAGATCTCGTCATTGGGCGTCGAACCATACCCTAAATGCCCCTTCGGCAGTCTGACTTCATGGACATGAAGGACTGCCGGAACGGAAAAACTAGTTTTTTGAGGTTTTTCCAGCATAATTCCGGAATACGGTAATTTGAGGTCCTGAGAGTGGCACCCAATTGCAGATCTCGTCATTTCGCGTCTAACCATACCCTTGTTGTCCTGTCGGCAGTCCGCCTTCGAGGAAATGTTGGACTGCCGGATTTGAACTCGCGTCTGCAAAATGTTTGCAGAATGCAAATAGCTCATTTTAGCTCCTAAATCGGACTGCCTACGCTTTGCTTTTCCAGGCCTTAAATAGAACAGATTACGGTCCATCTCCTCCGAAAATTTGAGCCAAATCCATCGACAAATTATTTAGATATGATTTTTAGAAGAGAATCGTAAAATGTGCTCCTGCAAAATGGCCTCAAACTCGGCAGTCCAGGATCTCCGGCCTCCTACGTTTTCTTAAGTAGACTGATACACCACCAGATAGCCCCAAGCCTGATCTACAAAATGGGCTGCCTACCGTCTCGGTGCGCTGTTGGGGCCCCGAGATATGGGCCCCTAAAGGGTCGCGACCCGGTCCTCAAAAACCCGTTTTTTTTTCATTTTGCAGATGCGGGTTCAACTCCGGCAGTCCAACATCTCCTCCAAGTCGGACTGCCGAAGGGACATATAGGGTATGGTTCGACGCGCAATGACGAGATCTACAATCTGGTGTCATTTTCAGACCCACAAATTACCGTATTCCGGAATCATGCCGGAAAAACCTCGAAAATAACAGGTTTCCCGGTCTGGCAGTCCAACATGTCCATGAAGTCGGACTGCCGGTGGCCCGTGCGGGGTATGGTTCGTCGTGGAATAACCAGCTCTACAATTTGGTACCGCTCCCATAGCCGGAAATCATCGTATTCCGGAATTAATCCGGAAAAACCCTCAAAAAGGCATCTTTTTCATCTAGAACCCCCAAAATCCCTCGAAGACGGACTGCCGGTTGGGTATGCAGGATATGGTTCGACGCGGTTCGATTTCATAATTTGCTGAGCACCGAAGAACCCCCAATGCTTACCACATACAATAATTCAAACATTCAAACAAATGCTTCTTTCCGGTTTCCCGATGAAATATTTGTTACCTGCACTGTTAAAAAGCTCAAATTTTTTTCGGCGCTCCGCGCCGTCTTCCCCGCCCTCCCGGCAGTCCCTGCCCGGCCACCAAAATCCCGGCAGTCCCCATTTTGCAGATCTGCCTACCTTGCCCACCCCTGATTGCTACCAAAACCGCTCCTTGTAGGCCTCATTTGAAAATAAGCCAAACGACGTCGAAGCATAAAGTAAGGCCAAAAAATAAAATAGAAATAGAAAGCCGAGTGGATCTTTTGCAACTTGTATACTTCTTTATAACTTGGATACGCGAATCACAAATACCCAAAAGCGTTTCCAACGCTCCGCTTTCTTTCTTTCTAAATCAAACCGCTCGGTTCAATGAAACGCTTTATTAACACAGGAGCAACACACACAAATGTCTAGTAGCGATCAATATAACACGAGGAAAAGTGAGCGTCTACAAAAAAACGGGTAGACTACAAGGCTTAACAAAAGAGACGAGCGTTGGCTGCGAGTTTAACGGGAGAGTGGGTGGGCGACGGTTGGCTGATAATCATCCCTTCTTCGTGGGCTGCATCGTCGACTTGACGGGGTTGCGGGCCGTCTGCAGGAACGACGGCATCACGCTCAAGACCACGGCGGGGCTGTAAAACCGAGCTGTAGAACGGGTTCTTAAGTTACTTCCGGGAGATCAGTTTTTTATCTAGGATCCAATTTTTTTTCAGCTTGAATCGAGGTAGTAGTCTGTTTTCTACTAGCTCTAGAAGCGCAGACTTGTAAAAATGAATTAAATATTTTAATTAAATTCTAAATTAACGATTGTTCGCGTAAAAAACAGCAATAAAGGTTCTTTAGGATTCCCGGGGGAAAGTATTCCCGGGAAACCAATTTTTTTTCCTGGTGGTCCCGGTTGGCCTAGTAATCCAAATATAAAGTGTTTTCGAATTGTTTTTAATAAGTTTTAACTATGTCTTCCCAGCGGAATAACTTTCAGAAAAATTTAAAAATGTTTGAAAAAATTAATTGGTCATTTTTGGGTCTATTTTTCGACCTAATTTTTAAATTTTTACATTTTTGGTTAAAATGTGTGTAGTTTTTATGCACAGGAATAGTTAAAAACAATTTAAACGCATCCGCAATTTATACAAAAATCTAGGCTTTCGCCGAAAAAATTTTCCCCCGATGCTTCCCCCGGGAATCTAAAGAACCGCAATAAAACATATTTTCGCTTGAAATCTTGCTAAATTTGCTAAAAAGCCTATCTAAATACTAAATAACGTTAATAGGAGTAGGAAACATTTGGATCTCCGCCCCGGAAGAACTAAAGAACCTCCCTACGCTAATCAGCGCCAAAAATTACCGTTGATAGCCTTGATGCTGGTATTTTCCTTGGGGAACGACGTGACGTCCTCGGAGACGCGAAAGTTCTTCACAATGGCCCCGGTGGCCGAGTCGAATTTGTTGGTCATCGGCGTGCGCGTCAGCAGACGGATGCTGCCATCGATGGGCACAGGGTGAAGCTGAAAATGGAGATTAGCAACGTCAGACTCGTGTAATAATCACCTTTGCCTTGTCGGCGATCTTGACCGATTCCGTCTTTTTCGCCGTGCCGGGCGTCTCCACGGAGAATCAGGGCCAAATGGCTTTCGCTAAAAGAATATATGGGTGTAAATGTAAAATAAGAACCTTCTCCTCGTTCCACCACCTATGCAGCTTCGTCGCCAAATGGACCGCGTCATCAGAGAGGCCGGGCTCGATCTCGGTGGCATTCCGCCTTCGGTCGGAAGGCCGAACGGATCTGCAAAAACACATGAATTAGTTGCTCTGAAGAAACACCAACCAAAAGCTTGTTGCGGACAAAGCAGCGGCAGGGGTCGCTGACCGGAACCTCGACGGTCATCCTCGTCCACCCCTTCTCGTTCAGCTCTGTTTGCAATGCGCTCAGCAGCTAGAATCACAAAATATAGAGATGTGATGGTGCCAGATTACATCCTGAACGTTGGTCACCATCCGGCCGCTGTGCTCAATGATTCGATCACCAAAGCCGAGGCAGACCGCCGCCGCCGATTTGTCGCGCACCCTTTCGACAAAGACCTGGAACAAAAAAAGAATTTTACGCACCAAAAATGGTACTAGACCATTAGCGGGGGAAGGGGTGTGTTCTGCAGGAGAAACCTAATTTTGACCTGTCGCCCTATTGGGTCCCGATCATGTATCTATCTAGCTTTTCCAGCACCTCCAATTCAATTACTAAAACGGCTCTTTACGCTGTTTTAAGGCTTTTAAACTACACAACGAAAAATTTGATTCGTGGGTATCTCTCGAAATTTTCAACGTTTGCAAAATCTATATAAATGTTTTGATGACTTTTCAGTAACAAAACACCACAAAACGCTTAAAAATCACACCCCCGCCCCTGCTAACGCCCTGTACCGAAAAATGTACCCTGTTCATCTCCGGGTCTTCGATCATCCGCACATCAAGGCCGACCTGCATGCCCTTGTAGTTGTAGAGGTAGACTTGGTGGTACTCCATCCCTTCCTGCTTCGTAAACCTGAAAAATTCACGATATTTTCAGATCGTCGGAAGCATACGAACCCGGGCAATAAGCTCCAGTCGACCGGCACCTTGCGCTTCAGCCGGATCACCTCGAATCGGGCCTAAACACCCCTGATTCAACGAAAATCGAAGCAATACCGTTTTCTTGCCCTTCTTCGTCAGCGCCTTCAGAAAGCCGGTGTTGTTCTGCAGGTTCCCGGTGAAATGGAAGTCGTTGCACTGGACCAGGATGTCGCCAGAATGGTAGGTGACATTTGCATTACCTAAAGTATCGAGGACAATGATGCGAAAATATATGTCCTGGTCAGTTAGGCGGACCCTAATGGAGATAGAAAAGGTCACCAGCCCATTCCTAGCAATTCTTTCCCTAGATTTTTTGGAGTGTTTCTATTCTCGAAAGTAAGGGACGAAGGGCCAATGCTAGGATTCACCTTCTCCGCTAGCCGTCCAGCACCGGCAATTTTACGCACCGATCCGGGGAAGACGTACGACGAGATCTTCTTTGATCAGCAGCTCCCACCGATCGCGCCTGCCCCCACTGGACGTCGACGGTGACGCGGTCGGTCAGATGGTCCGGCATCATCTTTCCCCTCACGCATCGCTTCACCTTCGCCGCCAGCTTGTCCGTCATCTTCTGAAGGTATTAGCACATTGAATTATAAGTGGAGAAAGATACCTCGCGCGGCCTAGCACCATCAATTTGCGAGACGATCGGCAGCATCGTCTAAACCGGCCGTAGACAATGAAAATAGAGATGGATACTTTCATGTTGGAGACGGCCGGTTTGTCGTCGCCGGCCGGTGGCGGTGTCTGCGGCTCTGAGCAAACGAAATCTGCACGAGTTGTAAAAACTCACTCGGCTTGCCGCCGCCATCTCCTTTCTTCTTGACTTTGTCTAAAAACTGGAATTATTCCGGCATACGTAAATAGTTTTCAAATCACGCAAAAATGGGTGCTAGACTGTTAGCGGGGGATAACGATGGCCTATCGCTTCCTATGGGGTCAGGATAGTGAAATAAGCACATTTTTCGTGGCCCTTTAAGGCGATTTCATGCATAGACGGTTCATAAAACAAATTAATTTCCGAAAAATGTTGATTTTGGCTTAAAAACAGTGGAAATTTTGAAATTTCTTTGTTTCATCTTGAAAATTACCAAAGACGCTATGAAACACGAGAAGGTTGCTAGCTCTACCCCCGATAACAGTCAAGAACCGAAAAACGGGCACGCACCTTTGGACGCGCCCTTCCTGAACATCTTGCAGGGGCCGCGAGACCGACGAGCGCTGCTGAAGGAAATGGCCATTTTTGCCAGCGCAGCCGACGCTCCCGAAGTCGAGTAATTTATGCATTTATGGCATTCGAAAACCTATACGGGCAAATTTGAAAGCACTAAAAAGTTATTGACGTGGCTAACGCTATTCAAATATGCTCTGA